TATCTATCTATCTATCTATCTATCACCGCTAATTATCTCTTTATCTGCCCTACTACATCCTTTCTTTCTTTCTTTTTTGCTTGCTTGCTTTCTCTTTCCTCATATCCACTTTTTCTAATGCTCTCTTTATCTATCCTAATGCACACCTTATGTCTGTCTAGCTAGCTAGCTAGCTAGCTACTCTTAAATGTCCCAGCTGTCTATCACTGTCCTATCTGTCTCTCTTTCTCAATTGCTTTCTCTCCACCCGAGTTGCACGGCGAGACTCTTTCTCTCCCCATCCAGTCCTTCTTTTCTCCAAACTTTCCTCTCTCTGCCTCCACCCTCCTTCCCTCCCCCGCCCCACAAGAGATGCCCCGGGCCCGATCCTGCTCTCTCGCACCCTGGTGTCAAGACAGAGTACACATCTAGTCCAGCCCCTGCCTGAGGGGTCGGGCTGCAGCTGGGCTGTATGGGAATACACCCGGGGGCAGGATCAAGCCAATGGAAGGGGGATCAGGATGGGCAGGGATCGCTGCCTGTCTGCCACACCTAAGCTGGTGTGCCCCGGGTCTCGCCCATGCCTACCCACCCCTTCCGCCCACCCCACACCCCAGCGGGGTCAGGCAGGTCCCTCCCAGCCCTCCATCCTCAGAAGGCTGCCATGCGGGGTCTGGAGGGTGCAAAAGGGGGGATCCCAGGGAGACCTTCGGGAACAGAGCCGGAGGCTGCAATGCTCCTTGGAGAGGGGCACCAGCCCGCACCCCGCCGGGGCTGGGCAAGGCTTCCAAGGGGCTGCAAGTGCGGGACGGAGACAGGAAGGCCAGGAGAAGCCTTCGCTGGGTCTTGAATGAGCGAGGCAGAGGCGCGCATCGATCTGGGGAGGGCGGAGGTCCCCCCCAGCCAGAGACAGGCGCGGAGTGAGATCACTGCCAGGCGCGCGCAGCTCCTCATTGTTCAAGCCCGATGAGCTCATGCGGCATTATGCAAGGCCGCCGTCTGCGAAGCCGCGCTCCGGGGTAGGCCTCGGCAGCTGGGCTTGTCCTGCCAGGGCGTGGGGCTTCCAGCGGGGGATCCCTGCCCTGCGCCCTGCCAAGCATGGCTTGGGGGGCAGCCCCCATGCTGGGTGCTTCTCCCCTCGCCTGGGCATCGCCGTCTCTGTCCCACGCTGTGAATGTGTGTATGCACATGTGCATGTGCGTGCACGTGTGTGTTCGAGTGTGCGTGTATGTGTGTACATGTGTGCATGCACATGTGCATGTGTATGTGTGTACATGTGTATTATGTGCGTGTGTGCGTGCACGTGTGCATGAGTGTATGCACATGCACATGTGTGTACATGTGTGCATGCACATGTGCATGTGTATGTGTGCACGCGTGTTTGTGTGTACATGTGTATGTGTGTGTGTGCGTGCATGTGTGCATGAGTGTATGCACATGCACATGTGTGTACATGTGTTCACATGCATTTGAGTGTGTGTGGATGTGTGCATGTGTTAGAGTGTGTGCATGTGTGAGTGTGTATACACATGTGCATGTGTATACACATGTGTGCAGAAGTGTGGTTGAGTGTGCATGTGTATGCATGTGTGCATGTGTGCACATGCATGCACATGTGTGTTCGAGTGTGCATGTGTGTGCACATATATGTATGCATGTGTGCGTGTTTGTGTGCACTCGTGTGTTTGTGTATGCATGTGTGTTTGTGTGTGCATGTGTATTCATGTGCACATGTGTGCATATGTGGCCATGTGTGTCCATGTGCGCACATGTATCTGCGTATATGTATGCATGTGTGCGTGTTTGTGTGCACTCGTGTGTTTGTGTATGCATGTGTGTTTGTGTGTGCATGTGTATTCATGTGCACATGTGTGCATATGTGGCCATGTGTGTCCATGTGCGCACATGTATCTGCGCATGCATGCATGCATGTGTGCATGGGCATACTTGTGCGTGTGTATATGTGTTTCTGGATGTACATGCGTGTGCATGTGCTTATGTGTGCATATATGCACATATGGGTGCATATGTCTTTGTGTGTACATATGTGTGCGCGCAGGTGTGCATGTGCATATGTGTGCATGTGCATACACGTGTGTGCCTGTGTGTTCATGTGTGTGCAAGTGTACATGTGTGCATGTGTGTAAAAGCCCATGCGTGTGTGTTTGTGTCCACGTGTGTATGTGTGTGCTTGCACACCTGGAGAGACTGCCCCCCCGGAAGGAACCCCGAGCTGCCGCGGGGTCTGCAGTGACC